CCCCGAGCTGACCGAATCCCGCTCGTCACTGCCCGGGACACGGCAGCATCAGTCCCAACAGTCGGAAGTAACAGCTTCAGCATCGCCTATGACTGCCAGGACTACCAAGACTGCGGCAGTCAGTAGTAACCCAAACGCGGGCGCTAACAAGCCAGGGCCCCTCGATTTGACGTCAGTCAGCAACAGTCGGCCAGAGGATGCTGCGGCAAAGGCAGCAACAGCAGCACCACCCAAACCCAGCCGAACGGCAGCACCACCCAAACCCAGCCGAACGGCAAGGAAGAAGACGGCCAGTGGTGATGGCGAGCGTGCGGCACAGTTTTCTCACCGGCGAGTGCCGTCAGCGCTGGTCAACTCGCGCCTCGTGGCCAACACGCAGACGTCCACTGACGTCAACCAGACGCTGAATGGCCTCGGCGTGATGCCAACCGGAGGGCTGAGGTTAGAACCCGGCGTGGTACCCGACTCGCCCTTGCAGAGCCCCGGCGGCCTGAGGAAACGCTACCGGCGCAACACGTCGGACTCCAGCGGCTCTGGTGTCTGCATCATATTGTGATGGTGCCTGCCACCTCTTCCTTCACCAACACAGAAGCAACTACAGTTCTGGCTGGAGAAATTCTACTCTCATGAATACACCGGTAGTACACGTAGCATGGCGTTTGAGTACACAGAATAGTGTGTACTGCTAGGGCTGCGGATCACATGGGCCCTATTTTAGTCATGATGCTGGAGTTCTCTGGTTAGTACCATAAGCATTATAGAGTTTGGCTAGCAAAGTCACAACGTACAAGTAGCCGAAACTTCTCCCATGCTATGCGAAAAAGCTCTGCGCTCCTAGCATTAAACACTCTCCCGGCCCCTTCCAGAACTGTGTGTAGCTAGAACATATTACGAGTGTATACCAGTGGCTCATCTCATGAACACAACGTGGACGACTCTGTACATGGCAACGCAACAAAGCGACTCGTATAGTATTAGTGGTGTTGCTGCCACGACTGCACATGTTTGACCTAGCACATGCTTGTCTTATCCCAGTAATGTTTATGTCTATTGTAAGCATGCGTGAACTGTCTTTCCCGTCATATCCTCATAATCCATTCCTTGAGCTCTCGAGACATCGGGTTTTTATTTCATTCTGGATCTTCATTTCCTAAGGTGCTTGACCTTCATATGGATAAGATCATAATTTCTCCACAGTTCTTCCTCTGGCCACGAAGTGATCAAATTCCGTGCCAAAAAGGCCGAGCATCCTTCCACAGAAGGCAGAGCGAGGTTTCTTTGCAACTTGAGTTTCGCTTTGCCGCGATGACTCACATGACTCATGTAGTTGTAATTGTGTTGGAATGTGGAAATTGCAACTTACACTCTGTAAAGATATCATGGTGGGGTCAATGTGTCGTGGCATTGGGAGCACTTCTAAGCTCATGCACCTTTATGCTCGTCATTACGACCGCTAGTTATATGATCATCGTAGGAAAGCAAAACACAAAACAAGCATGATTCCTGTGGCATTGTTGAACCATTCGTCTGCTTATGAGTGTGATGCGCATGCAGAAAGCTATCGCGTCACATATGCATGTAATTGTTTGAGCATCTCGACGCAATCAGGTTTCTTTCCGTAACAGTAGTAGACACATGATGGAGTTGTGCATGCACACACGCTCATGCGCACAGGCGCAAAGTGGACACACCCACACACCCATGTGACGCTCATCGCCGGAGGCCATGATAGCGATGCCACAGCAGAAGATAGGGATTGCACCATTCAACAGCTTGCTAGGCTGAAGAATAGTGGCAGTCAGTTCTTCAGCCCACACTCACACACGTGTACGCACATATCCTCAAGTGGACGTGCTCATAATGGGCACACACACACACACATGCCGCCCCCCCCCCCCACACACACACACGCACACACACACGCACGGTGAATCCAGTGTCTACAATCAACACCAGTGAAGACGGCTGGCACAAACCCAACACAACGCGAGTGAGAACATGATACTTCTCAAGTCGTTGCTAGAATAAGACACCGAGTAAAGATTGTACTCGTATCTAAAGACTATGCTATTCCAGTGATAAAGACGAGTGAATGGATTGAAACATTCGACGACGACGACGACACAGGGCCAAAAGTACTAAGGGGTGTACTTGAGAATGGAAGTTTCAAAAATCAAGTGAAACACTCAGTCTTTAAATACTGTACTGTATCAGCGACTGAAGATCCAAGGGGTCGGGCAAGCGGATCAAGCGAGTCACACGACCTGCAGATCCACAGTACTAGTGTACTGTGGATCTGCAGTTTGCGAGCACGGCTAAGGAGGTTGTCCGCACACAGGGATATACATTGTACGAACTATTTTGTGAACTAGAGACACGAGTCAAGTTGCAGTCATTACAGTAAATCCATCAAATCTCCGTACATCTCGGCACAGCAGGTGGCGAGCTCTGTGAGTTTCCAAGTCATGGTGAACCAAGACACAGGGCCAAAAAGTGAGCT